ATACAGAGAGATGAAGAGACGCTATTTTTAGAACATTAAATAAATTCTTTAGAATAATAATTTGATGGGTTAGTCCACGAAAAATATGACAGGTGGATAGGTTAAATAAATAACCTGCCCAACTTTTATAAACACAATATGGGGGCTTTCACTCTAACTGCTGAATTTTTAATTAATTTACCCCATGGAGTTGAAGAACTAAAGAAGCAGAGAATGTTCACGTTGAAAAATAAATCTTTACTTAGCTTTGTGAATAAGGTAAAGCTATGTTCAGATCATGCATTCAATTGTGTACACCACATATGTCAACGACAAGGCCCTTGGGCCAGAAACTGCCGCCACAAAATTTTATGAGGCCCGCCAGTCCCAAGCTTTACCGCGGCAAGCAGGGTAATTTCTTTTTTCTAGCCTGTGCTCAGGCAGCAACAACTTGGAGCAGCAATTCAACCGGCCACCCTCTGAAGAGCCTGCACCTCCCTCCTGGGCCGCAGGTTCCTCCTCGCCTCTGCCTCTGGTCGCGGTGGCTTCGGTAAATCCCGCTGTGTGTATTCGGGACTTCTCTACAGCATTTTGACTATTGAAGACAAGAATGCTTTTTTGTATCTTTACTCATGATTAAAGTGAGCCTGTCACCGGGGTTGGTTAGAACAGCGCGGCAGCACATGGGGGAGCGGGGGGAGGGGTTACGGTATCTGAGGTTGATGAATTGTTCAGTGTTGGAAATGCTGTTTGAAATTTTCCTTATTCTTTAAGTTACAAGCAATCATAAGGCACTTATATTTGTATCTGTCAATATATTGCATGATGATTTCTTCAACAATAAAAGCATCCAACTTATTAAACTCTGAACTGCTTTAAAACAGATTTGCTAATATTTTGAACATGTAATATAGCAGTTAATAAACTCAACATTTCTTGAGACATATAGAAACCAAATACTGCCTGCCATTTTGGGAAGCCCCCTCCTAAGTCCTTATAGGCTACACACCACATAGCCGGGACCCCTTCCTTCCTACTGTGACACTCCAGTGTGGTGCGCTACTGCATACAAGCTAACGTGTTGCATTATAGGAGAAGTGCGGGGGAGTAAAACTTTCTCTCTGTGCTATTCAGAGTCGGCTACACTGCAGACTGCTGATCACTTAGCTCACAGTCTCTTCTCCCTGCTGGCCCCCCCCCCCCCCCCCCCCCCCTTTCTTCCAGTGCTAATTGGAGGGACAGACAGAGGAGGAGGGGGTCACAGTCGGCTCTACCATACTCAGTGCATGACATTAGCCAGCATCCCCCACCACTTTGTTTACATTCAGCCAGAATCATTGGTCCCTTTGTTTACAATCAGCTGTGGCAAGGGATAAGTTATTGGTTGCTAGGATGCCAGTGCTTGACCATGTGGTAGCAAACATTGAAGCGAGGGGATACACAGTCCTAATTAAAAAGCTCAAAAGAGAACTAAAGCAAACACTTTTTTTTCCTTTAGTTCTGTTTTGGGTCACAGAAGTACATTTACCACTGTACTCCTGTGACCCAAACGCAGCATATAGCGGGCTACTGCCCATTATATCCTGACAGCACAGCACTGAAGTGCAGCTGGGAAGGATCCCGACAATATTGTTAGGATCCACCTGATTGACAGCGGGCTCTGCCTCTCTAAAGACAGAGCCAGCTGTGCCCGCCCCTTCTCCTGTATAGCCCTCTAATGAGCGCTGGAGGAACAGAGCACTGACTGACAGTCACTGCTCCCTGCAGGAAGAAGACTGTGAGCTAAGTGATCAGCAGTTTGTGATCACTCTGCTCTTGATCTATAGAGCCCATGTGTGACAGCTACAGTATCCCACATCAGTTCAAAGTATTGAGAGGAGTACATTTTACTCTCGTAATACTTCTCCTCCCAACAGGCCTATTTGTTTGCTCCTACGGTGAACTGCAAGTAGCCAGGGTTCGCAGAGTCTTGTGTCTGCACAACTTGATCCCTATCCCTAATTATTTTATGGTTACAGGAAAATCTCAGCACTTATTAACTGTCAATTTATCCATCAAAGGAGCAGAACAGTATAAAAAGTGTCTGCACTTGCTTTATTCTAGTATTTGTTCACTGGCAGTGTTAGATTTTTATAAAGCACCCAGGGAAGCACGTATCAGTTCCATGGTGCTCTGCTTGTTCCATCTATGCTCATTGGGCCACTTTCTAGAAAAAGGATCACATAGTTATTGGGGATAGACCTTTAGGAGCAGACAGTCTCCTTCCAGACACATTCATCATGATGGGCCACAAGATGTCTCCTGAAAAGTAATTTTCTACTAATACCCCATTATAACCTACAGTCTTAAAAAAGTGGAACATTTCCAAAAGAATTCAGTTTTTTCCAAAAATATAGAGGCTATGAGGTCACCTATATTTTAAGTCAGAATCTGTATCTGTTATAATTATTCACATATCATTTTATTTTGGGTTTGGATGAGCTATGTTCCGTATTTCTTTCTTGATTATGTTTTATTTTTAGAGCACCGTGATGCAATACCGTACATTTCTCTCATTTTCCTGCTCTTCTCGCCATGACATTATCTGGAAGCATACATTTGAAGTGTCTTCTTTCAAGGTAATTTTCTTTGAAATCTACTCTGTATGCAAAGCAGATGACGATGGCTTGCATATGTACTGTATATGTCATAATCCAGATTTTTTTATATTTGTCCCTCGGTTAAATTAAATGTGTTTGACCTCTGTGAGCTTGATGTTAGATGCTCAGCAATTCTCCTGCAGCCTCAATGAGATCAATATTTGCCAGAGCTTCAGGAATTGAATGATCTGTGATATGTCAGTGAAATTCCCATAGCCCTCAGCTTGTGTAGCAAGCGTTTGTGTGGTACCGTATCAAAAGCCTTTGAGAAATCCAGATATACCACATCTACCGGCTTACCTCCGTCCATATCTCTACTTACCCCCTCATTCATTTAGGGATTATTCACTAAAGAGCCGAAGGATCCAGCCTTGGCTCGCTTCGGCCGCCTCTGCCCTTTGGTTCAGTTGAATATTCACAATAGCCCGTACAGCAGCTGAAGGCAGACGAGCTGCTCAGCTGAAGCATGGAGAATGGTTGGCCGAAGCCGACTGATCTCCATGCAAATGACAGCTGGGCAGAGCCAGCCGTGATCTCATGGCTCGCTCCGCCTAGTTGTAATGACGGATCAGCGTTCCCAAATGACCAGGGGACGCTGATCTGTCATTAAACAATAACAACTGGGAGGTGCCGGCCAATAGAAAACAGATGTGCGGAGCTTGCTGTCACAGCTAGCTTCGCCCAATTGTTTTTATTTTGTTGACATCTGTCAGATAGTTCATTATGCGGCGGGAGTTTGTCGAGTCGGCGTGCTTCGTTTTTTTTTTCTTTTCTTTTCTTTAAAATATATTTTTTAAATGTTCCTATTTCTTTACATTTTTAAAATAATTTTCCAACTTTTAAAAAAAAATATTTTAATTCATTTAACTGTTTTGCTATTTTGCTTGCTACCTCGGCGGCATTCGGCTATTCACTTACTGCCGTTTTCCCCTATGAGACTAGGGGCAAATGGCAGCGAGTGAGGTGCCGGAGCTTCGGCTCAGCCGATCCAGATGTTGGATCGACTGAGTCAAAGTCCTTCTGCACTTCGGCTCAGCAAAAGACAGACGATGTACGGCTGAAATCAGCCGTACAAGGTTGAAGTGAATAGCCAAACGGCGTTTGGCTCACTTCACTTCGGCTCGGTTATTCACTCGGCTGCCTACGGCAGCTAAGTGAATAACCCCCTTAGTGTTCCGTGAAGACAATAGAGTTAAAGCCTGAGTTTAGTGTTATTTTAAGTTCACAAAGTAGAACATACCAATAGTTAACAGAAAGTCAGGTGAGGACTCACACAAAGAAAAGAACTGAGACCCTTACAGGAAAATTCACAAAGTAGGTCATAATAACAATGAGGCGCAAGCCCAGTCAGAAGTCCAATGTACCAAAAAAACAACAACACAACACTGAGTCCTGACTTGGAGTCAAAGCCAAGGATAGGTAAGCTTTGTAACATCTTAAGTCCCCACCCATACATACACGCATGCAAACATGCGTTGGGGGTGCAAAAAAGACGATTGCGCATATTACGCCGCACATGTTACATATCGCCGCGAACGTCGGAGTGAGAGCAATAAGTCTAGGGCCATCAATCACTGATAACACTAAACTGTTGAGCGGTAAAAGCTTTGAAAGCGTCGCCTATGGTCAATTTTGGGTATGGTAGTTTTCTGCGATTTCGTGGGTGCACGCAATTTTAAAGCTTGACATGTTTGGTGTCTATTTACCCGAAGTGACCCGATCTTTTATATTTTACCAAAAAACTGTGTAATAATAAATGTTTCCTAACATAATGTAAAAAAAACCCTTTTTTTCCCCAAAATTTTCTGTAATTTTTCCTAATTATAGTAAAAAATAAAAACCCCAGTGGTGTTTAAATACCACCAAAAGAAAGCTCTATCTGTCCCCAAAAAATGGTATAAAATTCATTTCAGTACAGCGTTGCATGACGGAATAAACGTCAGTCAAAGTACCGCAGCGCTGAATACTGAAAAATGGCCTGGCCAGGAAGGGGGTCTAAACACCTGGTCTTGAAGTGGTTAAAAAACATAGAAACATAGAAAAAAGAGTGACAGCAGAAAAAATCAAATGAGTCTATTTCTTTTAAAGTGTACTAATCCTTTTTTAAAAAGGTGCACGCAATTCTTTGCAAAAAATGGGCTGGCCAAATGCACTGCACCTTATCATGTGTAATGCATGCACATGCACAGGTGAGAACTTATAACAACTTTAGGATTTTAAAAAATTAACCCTTGCAGTGGGAATACCCCACTTAACTGCTTGCTTGTCTCTAGGGGAAAAAATAAAGAAGAAATACTCACCCAATCCTCAGTCACTTCAGGGGTTAATTTTTTAAAAATCCTGGCGTTCCTCATTAAATATAGAATTATGTGAAGCACTTACCCATGTAAGGCTTTGTCCCTGCCATGGATGAAGCTTTCTCCGATCCCTTTACAATTGTTGCAATGTTAAAATCTGTAATGTGCACATGTCCTGTAATGAGAGAGAAACACACTTTTAAGAAACCAGAAACGTGAAAATAAAGGAGTTTCCTTTTATTTGCCTACTGAATATATTTTATAGTAGAAGCTTTCAAGAATACTTAGTTCTCTTCAAAAAACAATATCACTAACTAAATATTCTTAACTGTGCAGATCCTGTATTATTATGATGGAACATTGTACACGTGTAGAAAGCCGAAGTCAATAGACCCCCCTCAGCGGCCAGTGCTGTGTACAATGTCCGGTGCTGGTGCACCCACTCACTTCAATCGATCACCAGAAAGGGTGGTAAGTTCTGATGGGCAAAAGCGTGTGAATTTATTCCTAGACTAGAACATTTCAGAGTTGCTGTAACCCATAGCAACCAACCCTAGTACTCAAGGTGTGCTGGTGTGCTGTGGATCCATTACAGAAGTTTCTTATAGAGAAAATACAGGGAGACCCGTTATTTCTTTTACGGTAGATCACCCTTAGGAGTCACCGGTAGTGTTATCCTGTGCTGCGATATCACCGACCGAGTAAGGGGGAAACCACATGTGCAAAATAAAACATGACATATATGACGCAGTCTGTCTCTAACTATTAACACAGCGGTTTTTGTAATTCTGGGTCTCCCGGTAACATTGTTTTATTATCTGTTGATCCTTCTAGTAGATCTGTTATTTTTCTACTTCCTTTAAGTCCCCGTTCACATCTAGCATATTAATGCTCAAAGCTAAACGTGACCAAACACTCAAGGCAAAGAATCCCATTCATTTCAGTGTCCAGTGTTCACACCCGAGAGTTTTGTCAAGCAGCAAAGCGCCTCTGGCTGGAAAAAGTACATGAGCTACTTTTTGGCAGATTATAGCGCGTGTTGGTCCCATAGACTTCAATGGGAAACTTTGTGTGCCAAAACGTCCAAAAATGCTTGAAACACACGCTTCCAGGTGTTTTCCATTGCCAGAAAAGAAACCTTGGAAAAGTTTTCTACTCAATTCAAAGAAAAAAAAACAGCTAAACATAAACTCAGGGGTATCCCTAGCCATTTTGCCGTGGTGGTGGTGGGGGGGGGAAAGCTAGCGATGGAAGTTGCAGGGGTGGGGTGGTCAATGGTGCATGCTAACGGGGTTTGGTGGCCCCCCTCTGCCTCATTCATCCTACCCAGCTCACTGATGTCACTGGTTGTCAGGAGCTGGGGGACACCGGCCAGAGTGTCCCAGGTTTCTAAGAGCTGAGCGGGTAGATGTGTATGCCCCTTACACATCTCCCCGCCTGGCTCTTAGCAACCTGGGGCACTCTGGCCAAAATGGGGGGCACACTGCGAACATTGTGACCATGCTGCTTTGCCTACCACCCCTTCCCAAAGAGATGCCGCTCCATTATAGGTAATGCCTTGCATACACTTTAAATAAGCTACATTAAAAGAGAACTATGGCCCAGCAGAGAACAGAGGGGGGAAGGGAGGAATTCCTGCGGGGTGCGATGACCTACAATCACCGCTCACTGCAGGGAAAAGATCAGGAACTGAGCAATCAGTGGATTGTGATCACTCAGTTCTTAATCTATAGAGCTGACGTGTGACAGCTGCAGTGTCACAAGTCGCCTCTAATTATGGGGGAGAGTTTATTTCACTCATCCCATATTTCTCCTTTAACTGAACTATAAAGCAGCATGCTGCTGAGTGTAACAATGTCCATATGTTTTGCGTCTGCCTATTGTAACACAGCCAAAGAAAAATCTGGAGGTGTGTCCCTTAAAATGGATAACTGGTTAACTAAAACGACATTAATGACATTTAAGCATGGTGATGACACTCTGACTTTTTGCCTCTTTGTTCTTCCCCGGAGATTGGATCGTAATGGGGTTTGTGTCTCTCTCTCTAGGTAAACCTTTATACATTCTGCTGCGCTTCACACCTCATTAGGGAACACAGTAAATCAAGGAGATTCTACACACGACTGAACAGCCAGATATAGGGTCAGCGTGGAGGCTGACTTTGGAAATACGAAATATTAAAATCTGCATCTCCCACTACAGAGCCGGAAAACCTTCGGAATTAATGCCTCAGGTCATAGAGATTGCCCTCTGGTACATTAATGAGCCATTAGTATTTCTTTCAGATACTTAATGTTGAGAAACATATGTGGCGCGGGCCATCAGGATCACTGGCTCTGAATTACAGATTACAGAAATGTGCAGTCAGTCATAATAAAATTCCTGACACAATGGATGGCAAAGAACTGTACATAATAGCATTATCATTGTGTATAGGAACAGAGTTCAGGGTGAAAGCACTGCGCCAGTAGATTCCATTGCTAGGAATTACAGTGAATTTCACAAGTATAATATAATAGCAGTATGAGGTGGAAGCATATATTTCACCACCAGTTGTATTGGGGGAATACAGGTGTCTGGAATCATCTTTTAACCAAAAACTTAATGTAAAGCATATTACCAAATACATTCAACGATTTCCCATCTATTCCTGTCCTAGTAACAATGTAAAATTTGGGATTTTCTTTCACTTTCAGGGATAACGATCACCAGGACAAATACTGAGGTTGAGACAGCAATGAAAACCTGACACGAGTTATAATCCCTTTCCACTTAACCAAAACTAAAAAAAAAAAGTTTTAACTTCAGTCGCATTATAATGTTTATTTAATGGTCATGATAGTTTGTTATCTTAGAATGTTTGTATAATTTTGTATATTTACACACATTCAGTGATAATATTTTGTTGAAAATGGACTGACGTTAGCTAAACCAATGTAGCGCTCACCCCCGGAGGAGCCGCCAGAATAACCCCGGGTCATCACTAATCTGTCTAGAAGTTTTGATCTTCTGTTGCCCCATTAGCATTTAACCACCCTCTTCTAGTTCCCACAAAGCTGATATCCACTACAGAAGTATAATGCTGAATAAAGTTTATTAACATCTTCACACTGGGAAAAGAGAGTAGCGGAAGCTAAACGATATTCTATCAGCAGCTGAATTAAACTCTCATATTTATTACCTACACAATAAAAGTAAATTCAGCTGCTGATAGAATATCGTTTAGGCCTTGTTCACACCAAATGCAGACCAGATCCGGTCAGGTTTCTGCACACGCAGTGCAGTGGGTTGTGCCGCGTTTTTGACGCGTTTTTGATGCATTTTGGATGCGTTTAGGGCCGGTTTTGGTTAAAAATAAAAAAATGTGATGCATGTTTGCGTTTTAGATGCGTTTTTGGGCTTGTTCACACCAAGCGCGGAGCAGATCCAGACCAGAGCAGGTGCAGACCAGATAAAAACTGCGTCCAATGTATTCCTATGGTATTTTGACCTCCAGTCCACATCGCAGCGTGCGGATCCAGACCAGATCCAGAGCAGGTGTAAAAACTGCGGCAAGCCCTATTTTACCTGCTCTGGATCTGCTCTGGAACGCATCAAAACGCATCAAAAACGCAACGCAATGCAACCCAATGCAATTCAATGGGAAAAAAATAACCATTAAAAAAAAACCCTCTGTGGTCATCTGTCATGACCTAATCTTGCTTTGTCACTTCCTGTCTTTGGAAAAGGTGACTTTGTGAGCTGGAGAGCAAAGGAAAAATGGTGGACCAGTTTTGTGACCCAGAGAGATTCATAAGTATGGTTCAACAGTGCCCTGAGCTATATGACAGCAGACACTTTCAATATAAGAACAATAGAAAGAAGGCTGACCAGTGGAGTTTGATAGCAGGGAGAGTTTTCCCAGGATATAAGGATATGTCCTTGACAGATAAGGAGAGCTGTGGTGAGTACTTCAATGTGAATGGCATTGTATACTAGTAGTTCCTCAAATGCAGTATTCCATCCACCCCCCTTCCCCCCACCACTCCTCCTTATCACACTGCCTGTTTGCTCACTGAAACCTGCAGCTGCTTTTCATGCAGCTTGTGTGGCTGTCTGTGATATTACATGTCATATGCATCCCCTTAGCAACACAATGGCGTAGAATTATAATAATCACCAGGAGCATGCCTGCATCTCATGGATCCATGTTGCAACAATTTTACATGTGAAACAAGGTCAGAGGAAGCAGGAAATAATCGGAAAAGCTAATGAAAGGTCAGAGGTAAAAGGAAATGACCACATAACCTTGTTAGCTTCCTGGAAAAATGCATCAAAAACGCATCAAAAACGCATCGTGCGTGTGCAGAAACCTGACCGGATCTGGTCTGCATTTGGTGTGAACAAGGCCTTAGCTTCCGCTGGCAATATTTGATTCTTATATACCGGGCTCTATGTTCAGATTTGCTGCAATTGTTAATACATGTTTGTCAGTGCTTAGAATTCTTACAATGCAACGTTGTGGGATCCAGTAATATATGTAATACTTTTTACCCCTACATGAATGTTTATCTACGTTGTGTTTTTCCTCAGTTGACCTAATTTGCATTCAGGATTTCCTGTTACTGTATTGCGTTAGTAGAATGGGATTTTGCACAAACTTGGGCAGAAATCATGGACCTGTGTGCAATAGTGTCCAAGCCACTAATTAGTACATTGAACACATTTGTAACACACCCACGTGGCCTCCCAGCCACAGCACCACAGCCAGATATAAGCTGCTAGACTTTTAGCCAAGTCAGCAGGATCTGTGTGGCCTCATCAGCACCCCTGTGTTCAACAAAATACGATGTATAGTTTGACTCCATAATTTTCAGCCGAGCAGTGACTGTAGCTAGTCAATGATAAGTATATGACCAGCTTAAGCCTAGATTGGTTGAACGGTTGATGAGTTAAATTGAAAGGTTTAATTTCCTTAAAATGTCAATGGAAATTGTGAGATTTCTACAGAATTATGTCTTTTTTTTTGATAAAATGCTTTGAAGTTAACGTAATGAGCTATAAAAAGCTCCTTAGGGCTGAAACTCCTTTCAACTACCCCTGACCTGTTATTGTGACAATAAACGTCCCTTCATTAGCCTTATTAAGTTTGTTTTCACAGAAAGAAATAGACAGTGAAGAACTTAAAGGAGAACT